ACTCCCAAGATGTGATTGTAAGATAACTATTATTTAAAAGATCAAAACATTGGTTATTTCATTACATATCAATTACGTAATTTGTTTCTTTCAGTTCAGTTTCTACTCAACGATTGATAGTTGTTTTCATCTTTCTAACGCAGTCTCAACTTGATCAATTGAAGAAACAAAGAGCTAAAGGAGTTGTTTCTATGAATGATGAAGAAATGTTTGAAAAGGTTCTAGGACCTGAGAAGAATGGCTATATGCGAGCTTATGGACCTGGAAAAGGCGTGACCGAATTCTTTGGTGTTAAACCAACCAAAGCTGCACTTATAAAACAAGTAGAAGCTGCTAGAAAAGAAACGAGTGAACAAGTGGAACAAGCCAAAAAGGAAGCCAATGAACGAGTAGATAAGATAACCAGAGACGTTGAGAAACAAATGGTTGATATGAACAAGAAATCGGAAGAAAAGTTTCAAATCCTACTTTCTAATACAAGTTCTTCAGCGCCAAGAGATGAGTCTAATGAGGAAGTAAGTGAGAATTTTTAAATTGTTTATGTTTGATCTTCATCTTCTTGTCTTTTCACTTGTGCATTACTCAATTTTTGCAGGTGACAGAGAGTGAATAATCTGAACGAATTCTAGAGATTTCATCATTGCAATTCTTCGAGGGGTGTAGCACTTTTTAGGATGATTATCAGTTTAGACTTTGGACTATCGATTTTATGTTTTTGCTTCTATTTGATAATAACTTTTCAGATTAGTCATTATGTTTTTTTATTATGTTTCCGGATCATGCCTCATGTGCTGAATTTATTTATATTATTTCGTGGATGTGTGATCAATAGTCTAAGCCTACAACTAACAATAACATGATATGCAGCCACGTCTATACATAGTCATGTAATGCAATCATTATGTTTCCCACCACAACAAACAATTTAAATACATTTAATTTTGAAAAAATAATTTAAACAAATAAATTCTAAGCTTCATTGTGGTTAAAAAAAATTTACAGCCACAAAATTCATTTCATGTCTAAATTTTTCAATATATATAGCGACTAATAATATAGTTGTGTACCCAACTGCAGCAAAATATATAGATACAAAGTAGTTTATGGCAAATGTTTTATAACTTGTGCCACATGTAGCATTTTATGAAGCAAAAACAAAAGATTCAGCTATGGAATTACTAGTAGCATAAAATAGATTTTGTTGCCACAACTTGCATACATAAAGCTAAATCTTGATTTCTTTTGGCCACGATGATTACACCGTAGCAAGAATACTTCATCTACAGTTACAAAATACTTGGTAGCAAAAACATAAACATTATAGCCATGTTAAGTATTTTGTAAGCTATTAGTAAATTTTATAGCCACGACTCTTTTGGTAGTAAAACATACTTTGTTATAGTTTTAAGATAATTTGTTGCAAAATCTATAGCTAAATGCGTGGCAAAAGCTATCGTTCTGTAGTTTCAAATTATGAATGCGTAGCAAAATGCTTGATAAAGCAACAAATTATATTCTTAGTAGCAAAAAATCTTCATGATCTAGCTACATAATATCCACTTTGTGGCAAGACTTTCAGCTATATTATGTTTCTTTTATAGCTAAATGCATTGGTTGTTAGCTACGTAATTGGAAAAATGTGTGGCTAACTTTTAGCTGCGCCACTTCTAGCTACGCAAGCAACAAAATAAAAATTATGTGGCTATATAATTTAGCCACGCAAATTTGACATTTTAGCCATAAACAGTTCCATAGCTGTATGGGCAAATTCTTGTAGTGACATCCCTAGCTAGAACTTGACTTGGGAAACTGACCCAATGATATCTTTGCAAAGAACCCTCTCAAGGCCTGTTGATAGTTCATTTAATTCATACGTACCAAAGGGATAGACGAAACTATGCTTCGAGATCCAGTCCGAGACTCTATTCCCTTTTCCATACGTATGAACCAAACGAACTATCCAGCTTTGGACAATCAATCTGCGAATCATGGTCAGAAGCGTGGCATGAGGGTGAATTGGGTTTGTCCTGTTGTTGATCAACTTTATTGCCAATTTGGAGTTTGTTTCGAAAATCAAGCATCGAGTACCCTTCTTCCAATATACCTATAAACCTTTGTGAATACCCCATAACTCTGCAAGGATAGCGGATTCGATGCCTATATTACAACAAAAACCTCAAACTATTCGCCTTCATTATCTCTGATACAACCTCTTGTAGTCGTAAGGTCTGGAGCTCCTTCAGCTGCGCCATCTGTGTTGAATTTGACCCACCCAGCCGGTGGAGGAGTCCAGCCGATGAGCTTCTCTTCCCTCACCTGTTTTGTCAAAGAGTTAAATTAAAACTTATCAGCAGCGGATTTCCAAGTCTTTGCCTAGTTCTTCACTTTTGAGACGATGTAGTTGGTCAGTGTGGGTCTCGAAATTCTGGCTACTTTGAAGATGAAATCATTTCGATGCTTCCATATGTACCAATAGATGAGGGAGAAGAAGCTACCCCACTCACTTGTGTCTTATGTGGCCTCGTCTCTTTCAAGGTTTTGAACTAGCCAGGAGTCTTGAATTTCAGTAAAGAACTGATGTTGAAGTTGTTGGGGATAACTTTACGAGATAAGTGAAAATTTTCATTTTTTACATTAATTAATTTTGTGAATAATTTAGACTACTATGTTTGTCAATTTGAGAATTTTTCTTCCCTCTCTCTTGATTAATGCAATTATTAATTGGAAGTAAATATTGTAAAAATTCCATCATCCAGATTTTTCTCAAATAACAACATAAAAGACATAATGATAAGGAAAGGTGTCAAAGGGGTGACTTGGTAATTTACCTTCTTTGTTTTCTTTTTTGGTGACAGCCTATCACAGATCCTAGATGAGAGAGAAGCTTTATTGACTAGTCAAAACTACTTTTTTATAATCTCACATTTTTATTAATCGGTTCATATCTCCTTTCTTTGAAATCAAAATTTAAAAGTTTTGCATTGAAATAACACAGTAATTAAAATGTATACTATGGTAATGTTAAATCCACATATATGATCTAGTATTATCACTAGCATATCTCTCAAATCTTGATCTTACCACTATGGTAATATTAAACCCACATCTGACCACAATCATATCATAATATTATCACTCCGATGTAGTGATAGTATCATGATATGATAGTGATATGATGTAATAAAATTATTTTGTCAAATATAAGACATCATCCCAACATCATACCACTATGATACCATATCACTGTCAATTGTAATATCGTGATATGACAGTAGTATGATAATCTGAAAATTTTTGTTAAAAAAATATCAAAACGTATATCATCTTGTAGAGCACAAAAACTACCCTATTTCTATGTAAAACCATTTGAAATTCGATGTAAAACGAATAAGCTATGGTCCGTTGAATTTACCAAGAAAGTATGAAAAATGATTTAATAGCACCATCGGTAAACCAAGCGCTGCTCCAAATCCGGTAATCTCTACGTTCCAAATTACAACTTTTAGTAGATGTTTTGTAGAACTACAAATATGAAAGGTTTTGTGGCCTTATTAATTTAAGAAACTCTTCAAGATGTGGTTTGAGAACTACTAGGTTGAAAGCCTGTGTTCCGCAAGGGTTCTTCAATTCTTATGTTATTAAGATTTATACGAATAATTGGTCACAAAGTTTGTAAATGGATAAGCATTCAAAAATGAAAATGCATCGCCGAAATACATGTGATTGAATTACACTTGATCGGCCAACATATAGTTCAATAGGTGGAAAACTCATAATGATTGTAAATATAAGAACACGAAAATGGAAAACGCATCACAAAAATACATGTAATCTGTATACGGTGATCAACCGCCTTCTAATCGAATAGTCGGAAAACTAAAAAAATTCATTGTAGTAATATACGTGAACGAAATATCGGTGATCAATCGACATTGGTGAATTCATATATTAAACAAAAAATAGAAGCTGACATAATACAGTTTCGAATAGTTTGAATTGGACTAGATGGCCAATTAGGCCTCATATTTGAAAATAAAACCATACAGAAATAAAATATTTATTTGAATAATTGAAAAACTCACAAAGATTGGAAAATGCATCGCCAAAATACATGGGACTCGAATACATATGGTCATTTGGTTTTAGTTGAATAGGCGAAAAGCTCACAGAAAATATCAAAAGATAAAAATTCAAAAAAGGAAATACATATTTCGCATATGCGTGATCAAAATACGTCTGATCACTGAAATTGGCGAATTAACATATCTCCAAGTGGTGCTAGAATTGGTTAACAATTGAAGAAGTTGTGAACAGTTTAAGGAGAGTAAACTTTTGAATTAAACGTAATTGACCCTTAAAGTTGGAAGAAATACAAACACTTAATGGATACTAAACCCTGAACAAGGGTTTGGCCTGATGGTAATACCACTAAACTTTCGAATTTCTTAAGTAGTACCTTAATTACAAAAAAAGAAAAAAAATCAAGGTTGTCAATTCGTCGGTGGACCCGTCGAATGACCCGCATTGATCCTGACATAGTGAGAAAACGGGTCGTACACACCCGTCGAGTGACCCGCTGCAAGGTATCTGATTGGAGGTCAAAATGCGTCGTTTTTCTTTTGGTTTGTGAAATGCGCCTATTTTTCGATTTTTTCGCCTAACACATTCTTTGAAATACTAAGTTAAACATTTGAACATTGATGTTATATAAGTATGCGTGAATTTTTACTATATGGTGGATCCAAGTACGACATATTATTTTAGTGTGATGTTATATGTTACTACTCATTTGGTAGATGAGATTTTATATAATTTATAAATGTATTAAGTATTAACAATATAATAACTTTTATCATATATCCGCGCTAAAGTGATTGGTCCATTAACCCTCAACCCACTTGATCGACCGGGTCAACGGGGTAAAACATATTGACAATCTTAGTAAAAACCAATATTGCCCTTATAAAAAAAATATAATCTATGATTTTTACATTGCCATTAGTGGACCATATGTATATCCTTTAGTTGATTATTCGCCAATCATTGTGTGAGAAAATAATTAGACCAATGTCTTAGGGTTATATGCTTTCCTTTTAAATTAAGAAGGAAGTTTAATCAAGCATACAAGGTGTAGATAAATTTCCTTATTTTACATGCTTAAATACTCCTTACTGTAGCCCGAAAACTAATTATATTTGACAAAGGTTGAGATTGAAGATTTCCATCTTCCCGCAATTAAAAAGAAAAAGCCCCTAAAATGAGGGAAACTCTATCTGTGAGCCACATTTGGCATGTGGGAAAGCAGGGCACTCAATAAGCTTGGACCCAGAATTATCAACACACAAGTACACTTGATACAGCTGACTGTTCCCAGATTCATCAGTGTTGCACTCTATGAAAGGAGTGTATCCCACCCCACTCTGGATTGCGCTCTTGATGCTGCTGAAGCTGTATGATCCCCCATTTGGCTTAATCCCTGTTAAGTTCAAAGCGCTCGTCACAAACACAAATCACAGTGAAGAACGAAACACTTGAGTTGAGATGCAGCAGGTTGTACAATTAATTAATTAAGTACCTGCAGTTGTCAGAGCTTGGAGGAGCTTGGTCTGGTTCTTCAAGCTGAGGGCTCTAGAGAAGTAACTATGTTGGTCAAGAACATCTTCAGAGCATGTCCCGTGCTTGTCCCATTCGTGAGACCAGAATGTTACTCCATTGCCACTGGGGCAAGCAAGAGTTGGCCAGTCCTTTTGCATGGTGCTGATTAGATTTGAAACCTGGTGTGACGACATTAGAAAAAATGTTCAATTTCCAGGTGCTATGTACACGAGAACGACCTCTATGCCAGTTGACTTTGAAAACCAGTAGAAGTAAGGTTACCTTGCTCTGGTCAAATGGGCTACTGGAGTCACAATTGGAAGGGTAAGTGCCGTCATTATAATTAGGCCAAAGCCCATGAACCCCAAAATCAGCAGCCGGTTTCCCTGTCGTTGGGTAGCAGCATTTTTGCTGTGTATCACAGTATGATCCTGGCCACTGTCACCACCATACAGGGCAGCAACAACCATTATTATATACTTGAAACAGAAGGAGAAAGGTACTGAAATGGGGGTGTTAATTACATTGTTGAGTTCAGTTTGATTACCTGCTGAACAAAGTAGAAGAAATCGAAATCCTTGGAAACAGAGAGCCCAGCCATCGACAGGGCTAGCAAAGCCTGGAAGACGACGATCATGACCCCTGAACTTGGCTTCATCATATCTCTTATGGTAACTTTGGTGCTTCGTTTCTGTTGTATGCTTTTGTGTATGAGGTGGCTTGGAGGGGGAAGTACTTCAATGGGTTTTTATAGCAGAAAAGGAAAGGGCGGGGATCATAATTGGTGATGAAGGAAACAGAATCAGTAAGAGCTTATGCTTGCCAGATCGTGTGAATTCATTCATGGGATTTTCCGTTGTTTGTTTTCTTATGCATAAACGTGTGTGGACAACAGCATTATTAAGGGTTCGTCTGCATCTTCATGATCAGTATGATGTCGGCTGGCTACATGTCCGTTTTGTCTACCGGTTTGGTTTCTTTTTTGGCCTTGCCATTGTCATTTTCAATGTATTTTTATTGATTCTTATCTTGAACTCGTCCTACAAAGTGTAACTGCAATTATAGTTTCCTACTGCCACACTCTTAATGGAAATTGAAGATAATATATGTGGGAACGCTTTGTTCTTTTCAATCTTGGAATGAATCAATCTTACAAATGGCTCAATATTCCGGCAACGCCCTGGTGCTACACTGCGGCTAGAACAACAAAAATATACTAATACTTACTTATATCCCCAGACTCCAGTGGAATTCTGGATATGCTCACTTGCTCACACATTCCCACAAAATAAGGTAGTGAATAAATTTTTATTTGTCGGCAAATTTATTGTCTCAGTCGTCCATTAACTCAATATCATTAGAGATAGTTTTAGGTTTGGACATGTTTGTTGAGATAGTTTGGTCATTGTAAAAAGGGTCAAAGGCAAATGTAGATGCATGGCCATGTTGAATGATGATTGGGCCATGCTATTAGGGTATCTCGGCTAGGGTTAATGAGGGAGTTGTCCCTAGACGTGTATATATATACATACTTACTTTGAGAGGTTTTGGCCGACCAATACAATAAGAGAAGTATCGATCTTGCCTGTGGTCTAGTCTTGATCACAACGATCAAGAAAATCATGTAAATCCGTCTTTGTTTTGTATTTTCATTATTGTTTATCATGGTATCAGAGCCTACAATAGAAACAGAGGCTATCAATGCTCGTCTGAATTCCAAGAACGTCTCTTTTGTTGAATGGTAATTAGCAATCAATCTACATCTAAACACTTCACATGGTAGGCCAAAATTCAATTAATAAAAGTGGAGCCTCAAAGTGGGTATGATGAGAAGGCATAACCACCAATAATAGTTGTGCATTATCAAGTCTCCAATGAACAGCCACTTGATGAAGATTGAAGACATGCATTAAATTGCATGGACCAATCAATGGTCATCTCAATGGACTATTCATGCATATAGAGTAATGTGTGTAAGAAGATGAGGGTCCATGCATGTGGTGAGTTAATAGTTTGTCTTTCATTTCCATTATGTATTCATTATATAAGTGTATGTATGGGAAGAATGAAATGGTAAGAGAGTGAGACAAAAAGAAAAGAAAGAGAAGAAGTCTCTACGTGTATGTCTTGTAAAAGCAATAGCCAAAAGTTAAGGCATTGTTTGGTTAAGTGTATTTCTATACATTGAGTGAATCCTAAATTGAGTGATTAAACACCATATGTTTCCTTTGTTTTGATCCTAATTTCTATCATTACTTCCGTTATTACCCAACAAATTTGGTATCAGAGCTAATACCTTTCTATACTCTCCAAAATCCCCAAATTTCTAGCCTACACAAATTTTCTCAAAAATCCATGGCAACAACTTCCTCAAACACCATAAACCCAAATTTGCTACCTCTTCTAATCAAATTCCCATTTTCGATGGAGAATTGTACGAGTACTGGAGTGCCCAAATGGAGCCAATTTTCATCTCTCAAGATCTGTGGGATATCGTCCAAGAAGGATATGAAGATCCACAAGACGAGGATGAAGACTCGAAAAAACGAGCAGGCAAGCAGACAAAGGAGTACAAGGAGAATGCCAAGCAAAATGCCAGCGCCTTGAGAATCATTTAGCAAGCAGTGAGCAAATCAATTTACCCCAGAATCTATGGCATCAAAAAGGCCAAAGAAGCTTGGGATGTCTTGCGTGAACAATTCCAAGATTCTGAAAAGGCGATCTCCATCAGGCGACAAAGTTTATGGCGCCAGTTTGACAACTTGATGATGAAGGAAACCGACACCATCAAAGACTTCCACTCACGTGTTGCGGAGACAGTCAACCAGATCAAAGCCACTGGTGATGTCATGGAAGAAAGAAAAATCGTGGAGAGAATTCTCCGGAGCTTATCATCAAAGTTCGAGCATATTGTTGCTGTCATTGAAGAAACCAAAGATTTGGCAAATTTATCAATGAGCGAGTTGATGGGCTCACTTGTAGTACAAGAGCAAAGAATGAGTCGATTCACCAAACCGCCATTGGAGCAAGCTTTCTCGTCAAAAGCAACATGACGGAAAGTAAATATGCCAAATCGGAGCAAGGCCAGAGATGGGGAAACTCACAAGGAAGAGGAAGAGGAAGATCCAATTACAGAGGAAACAACAGAAAAAATTATCAACAACAAAGATCGGGCTACACCGGCTCGAGTTGCATAATTTGCAAAAAGGCGGGTCATGCAACAAAAGACTGCAGATTCAAGTGCACCAAGTGCAGAATTCAAAACCACTCCAGAGAGATTGCTGGTTCCAGAACAAGCAAGAAGAAGGCGAGTCAAGCGGCACCAAAAATGAAGAAAGCAATATGGTGGCCTTATCATGCTTGAATGGTGAGCAAAAATTACAGCTTCCCTGGATGGTGGATAGTGGTTGCAGTAACCACATGACTGGAGATCTGGAGTCCTTCACCGACATCGATGACCAATACCGCTCTTAAGTTAAATTGGGAGACGGGAAGAAGCTAAAAGTGGAAGGAAAAGGCACAGTTGTTGTATGCACGGAAGAAGGTAACAAAACTCTCATCCGACAGATGTTGTATGTTCTGGAGCTAACTCTCAATCTACTTAGCGTGGGACAACTGATGCTGAAAAATTACAAGCTATTGTTTGATAATGGCGTGTGCGAGATTATCATCAAAGCAGACAATTTCATGGTGGCCAAAGTCCGGATGACTTCCAACAGAATTTTCTCTCTTGCTATGTCACAAAATGGTGAAGTAGCATTCAAGAGTGAAAATCTAGATCAATCCTTCCTATGGCATCTCAGATATGGTCATCTCAACTTCAAAGGTCTCAAATTATTAAGGCAGAAAAATATGGTGGTGGGACTTCCCCAGATCAACAGAGAAGACAAAATCTGTGAAGGATGCATATATGGCAAAATGCATCGTTTACCATTTCCAAAGACATCTTGGAGAGCAACAGCGCCACTGGAGTTGGTACATGCAGACATATGGGGTCCAACCCGAACACAATCACTCAGCGGTAAAAGATATTTTCTACTATTTGTAGATGACTTCACCAGAATGATGTGGGTATTCTTTCTGGAGCAAAAGTCAGAAGCTTTCCCGAATTCCTTCAACTCCAAGCAGTAGCTGAGAAGGAAAGTGGCCATCAAATCAAAACTCTCCATACAGATCATGGAGGAGAATTTATTTATACTTCGTTCATGGAGTATTGCCGCAACAACGGGATAAAAAGGCAGCTGACGGTCCGTTACACACCACAACAAAAATGGTGTGGCAGAACGGAAAAATCGCAAGATTGTGGAGATGGCGAGAAGTATGCTCAAAGCAAAGAATCTTCCCAACAACTTGTGGGCAGAAGCGGTCAATACAACAATTTACATCCTCAACAGATCACCAACCAAAGAAGTTCGGAACAAGATACCGATACATGCGTCGCACCACAGGAGACCACAGGTGGATCACCTCAAAGTCTTTGGGTGCATAGCTTATGCACATATATCTACTCCAAACCGAGACAAGTTTGACCAGAAGGGAGAGAAGCTGATCTTCACCGGCTATAGTGATGAATCCAAAGGCTATCATCTTTACAACCCAGTAAAGAACGAGGTGGTGGTTTCCCGAGATGTGATCTTTGATTAGATGGCGGAGTGGAATTGGGAAAATCCAATTTCTCAATCTCCACCAAGTTATGAAATTCTGGAGGATTCAACAATTCCAGAAGATCCCAGCAACAACCTAGATCCTGTTGCAAGTCCAAAAAGAAATTCTGCACCTAGCCCAGAAGAAGACGACTTTAGAGACGTCGTAACAGACTCAGATTCACCTCCGTTAAAAACAAGGTCTTTGTGAGAAATTTATGAAACAAGTCATGTTGCATATTTTTCTTGTGAACCTCAAGTCTTTGAAGAAGCATCCAAAGAAGAAGTTTGGAACGAGGCAATGGATGCAGAAATTTCCATGATCGAGAAAAACAAGAGATGGGAGCTTGTTGATCAACCGGAGAGCAAGTCGGTTATAGGTCTCAAATAGATCTATAAGATCAAATTCAATGAAGATGGTACTATCCAGAAGTACAAAGCTCGACTGGTGGCAAAGGGATTGATGACTTGATTTACACAGGTACAAATCAACATATGATCGAAAAATTCAAAAGTACCATGATGAAAGAATTCAAGATGACGGACTTGGGAGTCATGAAATATTTTCTTGGGTGGAGAAATATTTATTTCACAGGAGAAGTACACCGAAGATATGCTGAAAAGATTTCACATGGCAACGTGCAAACCAATCTCAACACCAATGGCGTTAAACGAGAAATTACAACGCAATGATGGAGCTGAAAAAGTCGATGGAAAGTTGTACAGAAGTCTTGTCGGGTCACTCATTTACCTAACACATACCAGGGCGGATATATGTCATTCAGTAAGTCTTATATCAAGATTTATGAATGAACCTAGCAAACTTCATTTTGCAGCAGCCAAAAGAATTTTGCGGTATCTTCAAGGTACTAAAAAATTGGGCCTGACGTACAAGAAAGAAGCAGAAAGCAAGCTGACTGGATATACTGATAGTGACTGGGCAGGATCACTAGATGATCGAAAAAGCACATCGGGGTACATATTCTGCTTGGGTTCAAAACCCATTTCCTGGAGTTCAAAGAAGCAAAAGACTGTGGCATTATCTTCAGCGGAAGCAGAATATATCGCAGCTGCAGATACAGCATGCGAAGCGGTATGGCTAAAAAGATTAATTTCTGATTTGCAGCAAAATTAAAAAGGTCCAACCATTATTCATTGTGACAACATGTCAGCCATAGCCATGACAAAGAATCCAGTATTTCACGCAAGAT